CCCCCCCCCCATATTAACCTCCATATCACTGAACATACTCAAACGGGTGTGTTGTACAGTCATATCTTGCATGAGGCATCACATTTGCTTGTTTACAGAAAGTAACCATTAGTTCACATTCCTCATCCACAACTTCTTCAGATTTCTCCTCTTCCAGGACAGACTTCTCTGTAGAAAAGAGAATATGCAGTGTAATTCAGTATAAAGGTAACTACAACTTCATTACAGATTCAAACAGCTACTGACATTTACTTTTTAAAAACACTTTAAGGCACAAATTTTCTTATGATTTCATATGGTGCCAAGAAGAATGATACCGTGGTCTGGGACAAAAAGCTTCCACACACTATCAAAACAGAGGAAATGTAATTAAAAAGGATCCAATTGACATTGAAAAGGCTTGGTCTCAGCTAAGTTTGTAATATTTTGAGACTACAAAGCAGTATCCTTTAGATTAAGGAGCGCCATGAAAGAAACCCCAGAAGTTATGAACTAATGGCAGTTCCTCCTGGTTTTATTTATTTTTGAAGTACTTTGTCTTCCTAGTAGCAGAAAGAGACATTTCAAGCATATGGCAATAATTTACCTTGGTTATTTCAAAAATTCTTGACAGAACTTCATTGACAACAAGAGTACAGTACTTACCCAATGGGTCTACTAGGAGAACTGAATTCCCAAGTGTGCTCTCAGCTTCATCATCACTGATCAGGATTATACTCGGCTCTTCCTCTTCTCTTTTTGATGGCCCCATGGTTACTGAACTCCAAAGGAAAGAAACTATTTGGCAGCAAATAGGACACAAAGATAGTTCACACTTTGAAGGTCCTTTCCTCAAGAAGGGAAGAAAAAGACTTCTCTAAGACCCAGACTCTTCATCTATGTTGATTAAGTTACACTAGGGACAGAAACATTCAACCCTTACTGCAGTCAGCAGCTCAAAAAACATTGCAGTGTCCATTCAGAGCCGAGAGAACCCTAAAAACAAGAAGGCGAGAGGAAAGAAAAAATAAATGAGATCTGCTATTCCTTCGGTGGGTTTGGTGGCACCACCTTTGAAAGAACCACCTAACGATAACAACTAGTGTTCACAACAGCTTAGCTATCGCGTGTAGAGCGGAGGCACCAGCGAGGCCCAGCACAGACCTGCCCGCTCCCTCCCCTCACTCCCGGTTCCCCAACCTCAAGCAAACCCACCTCCCCCCCCG